GGAGACTTTAATAAAATTTGCCATTAAGTTTGATACTAGGCTATATTATCACAAAAAAGTAGACAAAATTGAGGTGAAAAGTTAGTATTATTATATTGCATTGTTAAATCACATTTTTCCTCTATAAGTAACCCTAAAGTGAGATTCTATGTTATTTATTATCTCAAAAAAGTAAACGAAATTGCGGTAAAAAGGTAGTATTATTATGATGCATTTTTGAAGCACATTTTTCCTCTATAACCATTGTGCCTGGGGCAAAAATCGTCCTATCAAAAACTTGGAAAGTGTTTTGACGATGGCAGGGCAAACAACGTTAATTGCACCCATTAGGATGCTGGATTCAGGTGTCATTGATCCCACGAACGGGTAGGATTCAACCTATTTTAGCCTAAGGGTGAAAGGGGTGAGTAGCTCTGTTTATTTTTTTAATAATAAAATCAGTTAGCCTGTACGTACAACTGTAAATATAAAATTAAAGGAGAATTTGTCACGATGGGCTAACTGACCTGACCTCATGCTCATCTTATCATCCTCCACTGGTGCCTCCCCAGCGTATACCGTTAGCGCAGGCGGGTGCAACAAACCATTATCATCAGTCGATAAAAAAAAATTAAGGGGATCTAGTACTATATTGATAGGCAGATATTGAACACAATAGAAAATAGACGAGGAAAAATGTTAGGACACTTGATACGGCACGATGATTTCATGAAAATTATTATTGAGGGGAAAATAGAAGGAAAGAGGGGGAGGGGAAGACCAAGGAATAGCTACATCAAACAAATTGAGGACAAAATGGGAGTCGTGTCGTATCAAGAATTAAAGAGCATGATGGAAGATCGCGGAAAGTGGCAAGAGCTCCACCGACAAGAGCGTAGCTCTTAAATTATTAATGAATGAAGTACTATATTATTAAATAAAGAAACAACGTAAATATATTTCCCTATTAAACAATACATATATGCGGTTTCAGAGGAGCTTCCTCCCGCTTAGGTTGTGGAATGTTCTTCCTGCCGAGGTTTTCTTACGAGACTACAGCATGGGGTTTTTCAAGAAGGGTATATTAAGGTTTCTTAAGGGTCGGCAACGCGCACGTGACACCCCTGGTGCTTCAGGCGTCTATAGGCTACGGTAACCATTTACCATCAGATGGGCCGTATGCTTGTTTGCCAGCATAGTAGTATTAAAAAAAAGATATAAATATATCTATAATGTATCTACATATTATAAAAGACCGCCCCTCCCCGTCTGTCTGTATGTCTTTTTAATCTGAATGGTTATGAATATTTGTATTGCGTGGGTATCGAACTGGCGACCATTGAAACTTGTAGTAGTATATCTAGTAAATACAATTGATAATATTAATAATAATAAGTATGTATGACTCGTAACTCTAAACTATAACACCAAATAAATTCGAGAATACAAAATGTATGAATAAGAAAATAATAATAATAATGCTCGCGGGTTCGATTCCCCGCACGGCTCAAACATTTTTATTCATGAATATGATTGTTTGTATCGGTCTGGGTGTTTTTATGTATACATATGTATTTACAAAAAAAATATGTATATAGAAGCTAAAGATTCGTTCGGTTTTATTGGTTTTAAAACATATAACTTGATAATACATGTCGATAAAACCTCGCTAAATTTAATAATAATAATAATCTCAGGACAATCCACACAGCGCCATCTAGACCTAAGTTAAGATAGCTAAAGCTTGTTTTATGGGGTTTGACAGCGGATACAAATACTATGTATTTGTCCTGAGATTATTATTATTATTATTCAATTTAGCGAGGTTTTATCGACATGTATTATCAAGTTATATGTTTTAAAACCAATAAAACCGAACCCCAAACCGCATTCCACCAGTCTTTGACCTCTTAATGACATTGAACTCTTCTGCACGTCCGTGACAAAGAAAATGTGCAGACTTCCATCATAACATTAGCATGTATGTAAACAATCTATGTGATATATAAGCAAACGCACTTATATCGCTATATAAAAACTTCTTTAAAAAATACTGATTTCATTTCAAATTAAATTATTTTTATCTTTTTTTTCCACATCATCATCAGCCCGGAAGACGTCCACTGCTGAACAAAGACCTCCCCCTAAGATCTCCATTTTTTTCCACGCTTGTTTATTGTATACAATACTAAATGTAAAACACTATTTTGCTATACAATTTAACCATTCAACCATTGAGAGTAGAAAATTATTAAAGCACTAATTTCGTTGTTAGAAAAAAGGGGTTGATAGTAGACATGTGAAAATTTAGAGTATCAACTTTTTACATGTCTACTACCAACCCCTTTTTATTTACTGATTGATTGATGATTCGGCATTAAAAAACATGTAAAAATTTTGAGTATGTATTTTTAATGCCGAATCATCAATCAATCCAAAAAAGCGGGTTGATAGTAGAAATGTGAAAATTTAGAGTATGTATCTTTAATGCCGAATCATCAATCAATCAAATAATCCAAAAAAAAAAGGTGTTGATAGTAGAAATGTGAACATTTTGAGTATGTATCTTTAATGCCGAATCATCAATCAATCAATCAATAATTAAAAAAAAAAAGTGTTAGTATAAATGTGAAAATTTAGAGTATGTATCTTTAATGCCGAGTCATCAATCAATAAATTAAAAAGAAAGGGGATTGTTAGTAGAATTGTGAAAATTTAGAGTATGTATCTTTAATGCCGAGTCATCAATCAATAAATTAAAAAGAAAGGGGATTGTTAGTAGAATTGTGAAAATTTAGAGTATGTATCTTTAATGCCGAATCATCAATCAATCAATCAATCCAAAAAAAAAGGGGTTGATAGTAGAAATGTGAACATTTAGAGTATGTATCTTTAATGCCGAGTCATCAATCAATAAATTAAAAAGAAAGGGGATTGTTAGTAGAATTGTGAAAATTTAGAGTATGTATCTTTAATGCCGAATCATCAATCAATCAATCAATCCAAAAAAAAGGGGTTGATAGTAGAAATGTGAACATTTAGAGTATGTATTTTTTAATGCCTCTTCATCAATCAATCCATCCAAAACAAAGGTGTTGATAGTAGAAATGTGATAATTTAGAGTATTTTAATGCCGAATAATAAATAAAACATTTATCCAAAAAATAAAAGATATTTTAAGGTGTATGATCTTACTCACTTAGAGCTATGATGAACAGCTTACATCGTATTCTGAAAAATACGCACAATTTCATATGAATCTGTTTAAGCCGTAGTTTTGTTATACAGACAACTGTCATAAATGTAGATACATTTTTTTTGTAAATACATACCATAATGTTCATAGAAAACGCAAAATTATTGTTGGTACAGCAACAATAATACTTAGGAGAATAAATGTTTATACCGTGCGGGGAAATGAACCCTGGACTGTCACTGTAAGGCATTGTGCCAAACCGCTAGACTACCGAGGACGCATATATGACTGAACACTTAAACAATTGAACAGATTTCAATGCATATTTGTATGTGTGTAAAAATCATCTTAAAGTACAAACTATCTATAAAACTATCTATATATATATGGTATATATAGATAGTTTTGAATCCATTTGGATCCAGGATACATTCCTTTATATATATAGGAATATAATTTTTTTTAGATTATCCCATCAAATCAAAACCCAACATTTTAACAGACCGTCGATAGGGTACAATAGCATATCGTATGCACAAAATTTCGTGTCACAATGCTAGTTACCATACTCCTCTGAAACGGCTCGACCGATTTTTATGAAATTTTGTATATCTATTTAGTAGGTCTGAGAATCGGCTACTATCTACTTTTCATACCCCATAAGTGATAAGGGCTGTCCACCCCTAACATTTTTTTTGGGCAAATTTTTTTATTTATATTTTTTTATTATGTGTCATTAAAAAATACGTGCAACCCTAAATTTTCGCCCTTCAATTCCCAACCCCTATTTTTTATAGCGTTATTAATTTATATGGCAAAACAACGTTTGCCGAGACAGCTAGAATATATATATAAATATATTATAATAAATATTTAGTATTGCGTTAATTGAAATTGAAATTCAATTAATACTCTAAAATAATTCCATAGTTTTGTATTTTAATTAATAAATTCATTATTTATGTAAACTAGTAAAAGTGACTTTCGTACCCGTTCTAATAATTCGAAATATAATATATACATATAAATAAAATTGGAGTGTCTGTAATATTGAAATAACCGTTTTTTACTACTTACACATGAATATAAATACGGTACATCACCAAAATAATATTTTTTTACATTTTTTGTCTGTCTGTATCGTCGGTCTGTTTGTTCTGGCTAATCTCTGAAATGGCTAGACCGATTTTAACGTGACATTTGGTAGCTGCTGTAGGTAGCTGATGTAATGAGGAGTAACTTAGCCTACTTTTATTTTAGAAAAATAAAATCAAATTCCACGCGGACGAAGTCGCGGGAGCAGCTAGTATAAAATAAAATGTGAATTGAATATTGTTAAATAATTTCTAACTAATTTTCTTGATTAACAAACATAATTTGTTTAAAGATTCATTCTGACAGACTGCCTACTATATAGAAAAGAAAAATTAGTGACAATGTATCAATCAAATAAACAAATAGGTTTTTTCCTAGCAAAGGAAACTTTTAAAAATCCTACACTCACATTGTTTTGTTTATTAAAAGTTAGTAACCTCAGCTTACTTTCCTCAAACTTGAATTCGTGGAAAATTATGAAGGTGTTCTCATTCTCTCTAAAACAATTTCAAATTCCATCATAATAATGTCAACTAAATACTAATCGCCGGCATTGCCGTACTGTATTTGCGTTTGAATCTTAATTCCATCTGTGTTAGGTTTAAAATCAAACCTGTCCAAAGTTATCATGGTCGCCCACGCCCGCCACTCACATCTGTATTCATACCCACAACTCGACCATTAGAAACGAATGACGGTTACATACCGACATGCAAACAAAACACTAACATTAAATAGAAAAATATTTATTACGTAGTTATAATTAAGACCTTAAAACTATATCACTTTAGACCGGTATTTCGTTTCCATGCGGGATATCGTTATCCTTCTCTGTTACTTCTTCACGTTCCGATGGCGTGGTTGGTTCTTTTCTATCGTCTTCTGACACCGGTTCAACGGTAGTTGTCGATTCAGTTTTCTCTTCTTTTTGGTAAGGCACTCCAGACTCTACTATGGGAACTTCACGATCTTCTTTAGGCTTTACAGCTCCTTCTGGGTTCAAAGGTACACTCACGACTAGGTAACCGTCGCTGGATAGCTCAGCGTTAACATCAGACCCGCTGCAGTTAGCTGGCAGAGTGTAAGTGTGGAAGAACTGGCTTGCGAAGACATCACGATCGTCTTGTTTCGCCTCGTGAGATCCTTGCACGAAGATGAAATCTCCTTTCACTTTGACCTTTAGATCTTCCTTCTTGTAATCCTTAACGTTGACTACGACTTGGAACTTGTTATCGTCAGTTATAATCCTAGGTCCGATGTCGGCGAAACTGGGGAAGAGTCGCCATAGTGGAGCGAAGAGATTGCCGAAGAGGGGGAAACTGAACCATGGGCTGTCATCGAAATCTTCGTCGGTTATGGTGGTAACCGGCCGCGGCGCCGGCTTGTCAGCCGGCAACGCTGCAACAGCTGCCAAGACAGCAAAAGCTACTAGAACTCGCGGCGAGAACATTTTTTCACGTGCGCAGTATTGGATTACAGTATATGAACTGAGTGCCGCGCCGGTGCCGAAGGCTATATAGACGAGGTGGGGGCGCGGGGTGCGTAAGCGCATCGCTAACGTTCATGACGTATAGAGAATATTAACGCAGAAGTGTAAAAAGGCATTTGATGAGTCTATTGTCTCAGAGAAGAATAATTCTGTAACTCAAATTACATAGTAACATTTTCTACTCACCATTAAGTGAGCAATAAAATAATGACTCGTATAACATATATAATATAAATAAAAACCAAAGGTTTTCTTATAAGGAAAATAAACTTCGGCTTATATCATAATTCATCTCTATATTAATAAAACATAATATATAAAAAAATGGGTATATATGTTTGTACCAATCCGAAAACCAGCATAGTAGACATAATAAACTCAACTACTTCTGCAGACAATGTGCCACATAATATAAAATATAAGATATATGACATATAAAAGGTTAGAAAATTGTTTTAGCAAAATTAAAAATATATCTTTCGGTCTGATTCTTGTGTTAATAATAATTTACGTAAAAATATCGACGCCAATTACTCAACATAAAATTACTCAATATCTTGTTTTCTAAAAAAATCTGTTTATAAATGACAGAGTTATGAAGTAACAACCATAAAAAATACAGCCGAATTGAGTATTCTTTAAAGTAAAATAAAACTTATTTTCAAATCGGTTTATAAATAACGGAGTTAGGAAGTAACAAAAATTTAAAAAAACACAGCCGAATTGAGAACCACCTCATCCTTTTTTGGGGTCGGATAAAAGAGAATAGTATAACCAAATCATAAAATCAAATGTCAACTATTATATATTCTTCGCTAAAATATGTATTCCGTTTGAAATCCACAGATAATGTATAACTTCACAGATACTAAGAACTCAAGAGTTTTCTACCAACATTAATTAAATGTACATTCTGTTCTGTTATTAAAGTAAACAACATAATCTTTGCCAGTGATAAGTAACCTTGGACGTCCGGCTTCTAGACTTCTCGCTGAATTATCTCGTTTTCTTCCTCGCGGGTCGCGGTACGTGAATCAGCCACATTATGGCTTCTGAAGGTACGTGGTTATGAATCAGCCCACAATTGGGGTACGTGCCAATAGGATACTGATCTGTACATTAATTACGGAAAGCGAATGTGTCACATCACGTATTCGCTTTGTCTTAGTTTTTATCATGTATGTATAATTAATTACTCGATTATAAATTAACGATTTTTTTCATTACATACTAGTAGCTCCTCCCGGATTTTTTTGTCATTGAAGTGACAAAAAATCTGAAGGTACAAACATCGAATAATAAAATTATTTATGAACTAACGAATTTATTATTTATGAATTATTATAAATGAACGATTTTTTCAGTACATTCTAGTAGCTCCTCCCGGATTTTTTTGTCGTTGAAGTGACAAACAATCTGACGGTACAAACATCGAATAATAAAATTATTTATATTATAATTAATTATTTATGAACTAAAAAATTTATTATTTATGAATTATTATAAATGAACGATTTTTTTTAGTACATGCTAGTGGCTCCTCCCGGATTTTTTGTCATTGAAGTGACAAATTATCTGACGCTATAAATATTGAATAACAAATTTATATCTAAAACTTATTTATATATCTGTAATATATATCTATAATTATATCTAAAACTTATTACGTGAGCATTTTATTATAGTAACACTAGTACTAAAAATGGACATTGCAAATTCTTTGTACATTTTTATATATTACCGCTTTACGTCCGATGTTCGCGGGTTCGATTCCTCGCACGGCACAAACATTTGTATTCATGATTGTTTGTATCAGTCTGGGTGTTTTCTATGTAGAATATGTATGTATTTAAGAAAAAAATATATCTACGTATTTGTATCAGTTATCTAGTACCCATAACACAGGCTAGCATAACTTGGGTCTAGATGGCGCTGTGTGAATTGTTCTGAGTTCAAAAAAAAAATCTCCCCTCTTGTATTACCCCCGGCAGAAGAATTATTATTATTATTATTATCATATCTATTTAGTTCTGTATCCATTTTGAATTTATTTTTACAGTTTTAGAATTGTCAGAATAATAATATTATCCCTCAATAATTCACAAAGCGCCATATAGTCCCACAGTAAGCAGAGCTTGTGTTATGGGTACTAGACAACTGTTAAATACTTAGATATTCTTTTTGTAAATACCTACATAAAATACATTTTAAACACCCAGACCGATACAAATGATACTCATGAATACAAATATTTCCACCGTGCAAGGAATCGAACCCGTGACCACCCGACCATCCGAACCCATCGACACTAAACTGGTACGCTAATCCGCTAGACCACCAAGACCTATATCTGTATGTTTGACCTATGTCTAGATGTGTATGTTTCGGTACTCATTGTCTATGTATATATATATATATAAAAGATTCTTTAACTGTACAGATTTTTAAAAATAAATTAAAAAAATTATCCCTCAATAAAAACTGTGCCGTGATGTGTCTGCACTCCAAAAGCGGGGTAATGCGAGGTAGTACTAGTGTCACCAGAATTTATGTTTATTTTATGTTTCAGTGTGTAGTTTATGTTTGATGTTTATTAATATACATAAAATGTTTGCTTTGTGTTGTCCGCCTGGATTTATGTATGTATGTGTATTATTATTATTATTTTATTATGTTTATTGATATGAAGGTATTTGAAAACCAGCGTCGTGGCAAGACATATGCTGAGCGGAGACCTAGTTGGTACTCTAATTATTAATATAAAATGTAAATTAAATTTTAAAAATTATTTTCCAAGTGTATAATTATAGTTATAGTATAGTTCCAGTGTACCAAATAAACAATTTTCTTTCTTTCTTTCTTTCTTTCTTTCATATAATTATAACTTGACTATAATTATATATTGACTATTAGTGCCAAAAAATATTACTAGTGGAATATTTAACATATCTTGTATTATAAATATATATATATATATATATATATATATGTATATGAGTGTTTACATATTTGCTATTTTCATGAACACAATGACGTATCTACCTATAATTGTATTTTTAGATGTATTTACCATTATAATTAGAGTCAAATTTGATTTGAACTTAGAAACACTGAATAAGGAAATGTTATTTCGCAGTTGGTACATTTAACAGCCTCGAAGTAATTAATGTGTCCAATATAAAAGATTAATAGTGTACTGTTTATTTAATTGCATTCCAACATCTCATCTGTTTTACGCCTCGGCTAACTAATTGGCTAATCCCCTTCATGAGCCTAGATCTATTTTCAAACCCGACGCGAAAAGGTAGGTCGGCGTTTGTTTGCGGCCACGTAACTTCCTAGATACATTGCAAATCTACAATAGAACTATTACAAAAAGCCGTCATTATCAACACGTGTCGTATTGTAAGGAAATTTCTTTCTTCATCACTTTTATCATCATCGTATAACTCATCCACGGTTGGCTAAGGCCGTGTTTGAACGTATTACCCCCATTAAAAGGCAGATATATAAACAAACTAGCTGTACCCACGACTTCGTCCGCGTAAAATAGTGGCCTTGACCAAATATTGAAAAAATATTGAGCTAATCCAATAAAAGCGAAATAAAAAACTTTCATCGTTTTAGTTTCAAAAATGACGATTATGGCATACAACCTTTCATCCCCTCTTTCAACGCCAACAACCCTTTCTTCGCAATAAAAAGGGGCTTATGTCCTTTCTCAGGGTCTAGACTATCTGTATACCAAGTTTCAATTAAATCGGTTTAGTAGGTTTTGACGTGAAAGCGAGACAGACAGACAGAGTTACTTTCGCACTTATAATATTAGTAAGGATATAAAAGAATAATAATAATAATATCTCTTACAAAAAGCCGCAAAAACCTGTCGCATAACCCGAAAATTCTGAACCTCCTCAACAATATCATCACACAGCACAACCTCTCCCACACTCGGCTAAGGCCCGTGTAGGTGAGTATTACCTTCTTTTAAATTTTTTAAAGGATGAGTAAGAAAGAAAAAAGATAATAATAATAATAATCTCAGGACAATTCACACAGCGCCATCTACAGCCAAGTTAAGCTAACTAAAGCTTGTCCTCCACTGGTGTACCGCCAGCGAAAACCGCTAGCGCTGGCGGGTGCACCATTCCATTATCATCCATAAAATAAATGGTCGATCGATATATATATATTTATATATATATATACAGCAAATAGACATTAATCACAATGAAAAGGTTAACGAATTCCAACTCGGTCATAATAAACTGGATTCCCCAGACAGGCCGATATCCAACTAAATATTTGACAATAACTATGCATACTGATCAAACTTGAGATTGGTTTTGAAGTTATGATTACATACAAACAAAGTTCTATTGAAGTCCGGTTGACGGGGCAAGACAAATAAACCTCCTTCGCAGATCTATGCGGGCTGTTTGCGCTGAAAGCATTGTTATACTTGTACATTCGACCCAACAACAATAAATTATTAAAGCTAGTAAAAAAATAAAACAATCACTTGTTTTATTATAACAAGTAATTACTTAAAATGACACTAGTGAAACAATGGTCAGGGCACATAGCTCATAGGACAGATGGCCGTTGAGGTAATAAAGTCCTCGAGTGGCGACCACGGACCGGAAGACGCAGGGTGGGAAGGCCTCCAGCAAGGTGGACCGACGATCTGGTCAAGATCTGGACCGGGCTGAAATTTGGCATGCAGGTAGATGTTATGATGTAGGTATCCGCTAAGAAAGGATTTTCGTTAATTCTACCTCCAAGAGGATGAAATAGGGGATGAAAGTTTGTATGAAACTTTGTCAATTTGAAACCGATCTGGCTGAGACTTTGCATGCATAAAGCTGCTATGACGTATTGTTATTGTATGTGTTATTGACGTTATTGTTGCTCTCTTTGGGAGGTATATTCCCAACTTTTGTTAACTTAAATGTTGATCTATATTTTACCACTAGCTTTTGCCCGCGGCTTCGCTAACGTTAATTTATC